AAAAGGAACAGTTCATTCAAAATGTCTTTCAAAACGTGTATGGCTTTCTTTATTCCGTGGAACGCAAAAGCAGATGTTTAGAGGAATGTCCAAGATGTTCTTTAATATACAAAAATGAGCATTGCAGTAATGTGAGTTTTGATAGGAAAATCATTTTATTGGGATTTTTCATTTGGTAAGAAGTTTTATTCTTTTTTTAATAAATATGAATATATACCATAATATTAATATAAAGTAATATTTTAATATGAAATAAAATAGGTAAAAATACAAAAATTATAATTGAATTGAATTAATATTTAATATGAAAAATAAAGTACTGGATAAACATTTTATTGAAAAGATCAAACTCAAAATAATTATTTGTTTATGAATAATTAATTGTCATTCAAATAATATTACAATCTCCAAAAAAATCTAATAAAAGAATAATTTTAAAATATAAAATTTATTTAAAATGTATTTAAATGTATTTTATTTAATTTATTTAAAACTAAATTTAAAATATTTTAAAAAGGAGATGTTTAGAAGAATATCCAAGCTGCTCTTCTCCCTACAATGAACGTGAATGGTGACCACAGCTTTCAAGCAAGATTTCTGTAATTGTTGATTAAATTCTAAAGTCACACAAAAACATCATATTTTTCGGAGGATTTGGAATATAGGGCAGAAGTCATATGCAATACTTTTATGATACGAGAAAACTGTACGTTTATAGTTTTTTTTTTTTTTTTTCTTTTTTGGAGTTTGACGGCTCTCATGTTAAGTAACAGAACAGCTCATTATTCAAAGGTTCTCTTTTTGTGAAAGAAAGTCATACAGGATTGCAACAACATGAGAGACTTCTTTAATTCTTGGGTGAACTATTCCTTTAAATATGAAATTATACAGCACATCTTACCTTTACATTTGTTGGTGGTCTTGTCAAGAATGGCCTTAGTAGACACTATTTTTCCATAGCTGTGCAATTCAAAACAAGAACAAAAAGAAACATTTGGTTTAGGTGAATGGATAAACACCTTGAACAGCTTTTTAACAGCTTAATAATAAATACATCCAAAATCAGAAGACTTGCTGATGTGTATCTGATATTTTATAAGGTCAAACACAGTTTGGAAGAGCCAATGTAATCTAAGCAGGTGAGCAGCAGAAGCACAAAAACCCATAAATGCAGGGCATGCACCAGCGCCGCTCCATTCACAATGTGCTGCTTAATGAGCCCCCATATCCAGAAATCATTTGCATTAAATCTTCATGAGGGTGCCGGTGTGGTGGAGAAGCCCTGATCAAATGGTAATGCTCTTTGAATAATGGATTCCATACCATGTTCATGCTGCTTTGCATGTCTTGGGAAAAGGCATTTGCGCAGCATGATACAGGTTTATAGCTGTAGGTTTGTGAACACGTCTATGGATTACTGGAGGCTTGTGGGTGTTTGAGGGATGGGGAGGAGGAGGGGGGTGGTTGTTCTCTCTCCAGGCATGTGCTTGCAGTGTAACCTGAGAGTTCTACTTGTCTGCCCTGCACAGCTCTGGATAAGATCTACAATAATCAACCTACAATGCCCTCCACTGCACTCCTCATCTGGGTCCTACTGCCTGCGCACAGAACCTCACACTGATGTTCATGACTGAACTAAATCTATATAATGTAATTGGCATATAGATGAAAGAATTATGGGAAAACTACAAGAGAAGTTTCAGTTTTTTATTTATCATTCGAATGAAAGGGTCATTCATGCAAGACATGGAACAAAACAGGTGATTTGACACATGCTTTTAAAAGTTTTGATTTTCACAAGACCTCTTTAATCATTAAATATGTCTGTCTAGCATATGTTTTCTTAAAAAAAAAATATAATAGCACACATGGCAACCCAGTGTACCTCCAAAATTGTTTATTGTACAAACGCAACACAATAAATCTTAAAAATGTGCATGATATTTATACATAATACCATGAACCACTTAGGCCCAATAATACGTAAAATTATGAACATGACACAGATGGAATAAACAATTTGATTAGTGATGCACCAAAATTTAGGCAACCAGAAATATTCAGCCAAAACAGCAAACAAATAACAATCACTGGTTTCAGCAATTTTGTTTTTCCCTGATGTCACTATCAGTACAGCCCAGGGGTAGAGGGACAGTTAGTCATGTGTGAGATCCAACCAAGAGTCATGGCCAAGCAAGCACTATGAGATGGGCTGCAGAGTTTAGTGTAGAAAAAAAGAAACTATTGAAACTATTGACCTTGTTGTAGCATTGGTGGGGCAGTTAACATTCAAATTAGTGTCAAGGAAAGGCTTTACTTCTATAATGCTGATTCAATCAGCAACAAAACACAATGAATCATTTACTCTGTTGAGTCATTCAAAACACTGATTCATTCAGGAACCAAACAAGTGACTATCTTTATAACTGAGTCAACAAATAATTCACTCAACTGATTTGGTTAAAAATACTTAATCATTTAGGAACGGCACTAATGTGTGTTGATCAGAGCCACATTTATTTTGCTTTGGTTCCATTTGGAACTATTTTCACTGACAGGTTAAAAACAGACAAAGTAACTGGCAATATTGTTTAAAATGTAAGTTACTCAGTTTTAATTTCTTGTATATTGAAGAAATATCATTCTCGCAACCGGGCTGTTGCTCTGAACCGCTGATATTCGGAACAACAGCACTCTTGCTCGTGATAATGCTTAAATATATCAGAAATATAAATGTAGCTATTGTTTTATCACTGTTCTTTCTCGTGATATTCACAGCATTCACTTTGTAAAACAAGCTGTAGTGTTCTGAAACCATTCGGTTTTTGATCTGCTCTCTCGCTTTCTATAAAAGTAACAGGAATTACTTGACCAAACATCCTCTCCGCCAACAGCTTCTTTGCTAAGAAACACCAGATATATTTGACTAGCGCTTATCTCTCTCTCAGTCTCTCTTTCTCACACTCCCCCAAATCTCTCTTTCTCTCTCACAGCTTCTTCCCACCCCCATCACCAACAACTTTTCGTCTCCTCTCCCGCCCAGCTGTTGCCCTTGTTTGTCTTTCCCTTTCCCCCTGGGCTCAGAGTTTCCTGTAGGGCTGGGCAGCCTCATCTCAGCCGTTTCTCCCAGAGAGGGCCTCGATCTCCAGTACTATACTTCTCAAATCTGTTCACCATCTTAAATATATGAGTAGTTTGTCCTTAAATGGAATATATACTTCTATAAAGCTTAAGAAAATACATCATATTTTTATTGGCCAAAATAACTTACATCAAACTGGTCATTAAAAATATCGAGTTCACTTCTGCTTTGGGAATGTAATATAAAAATAAAAAACAGAAGACTGAATAGTCTCAAAAAAGCTAATACATTTAGATTTGCAATTAGTGTTCTTTTAGTATTATTTATATAATATTATAGAATTTATTAATATTTTGAATTAAATATAAATAAATATAAATAAAGCTTTTATATTTCTATTTTCAATTTTCATTTTCATTTTAGTTTAAGCTTTAGAAATTAGGCGCTTTGTCATTTTTATTAGTTTGTTTTTTATTCTATTTAGCTCAAATTAATTTAGTTTTAGTAATTTTAGTACTTCAACTTTCACTTATTTCAGTTAGTTGCCAAGGTAACATTTCTAAATTTCATTCAAGTTTGTTGAAGTTTTTCACCTATTTTTTACATTTCATTTTAGCTTTTTTTCAATTACCGAAAATGATTTTTCTTAAATTGTTGAGTTAAAGGAGTAGTTCAAGTCAAGTCAAGTCAGGTCTGCTTTATTGTCAATTCTTCCACATGTACAGCACATACACACAGAGAATTGACTTCCAGATAAAAAATTTCCTGATAATTTACTCACCCCCATGTCATTCAAGCTGTTCATGTCTTTCTGTCTTTCGTCGCAAAGAAATTAAGGTTTTTGAGGAAAACATTACAGAATTTTTCTCCATATAATGGACTTAAATGGTGGCCAACGGGTTGAAGGTCCAAATTGCAGTTTCAATGCAGCTTCAAAGTAAATTATCAGGAAGTTTTTATTCTGGAGGTGAGCCAAAATCTCTGGTCAAACACTTTTATCAACCCTAACATACTTTTATCAACCCTAAAAGGAAGTGAGATGCAGGCAGGGACAGAGACAAAGAGGGGGAACCGTCATGCCTAGCTGTTGGAAACACTGCAGTTGGTTAACAAAAAGGAGCTTTGTTTGAAACCCAAACCTCTGCTGAGTTTATGTCAGTACATTCCACTAAAACGTCTTCTATCAGGAAAGCACAGATCTTATGCCCCGTTCACACTACAAGCGACAAAGCGACACGATCCCATTCATTTCAATGGAGAGCTGGCGATTTCCGGCGACAAGTGCGACAGCGGCCGTTGGCGACGGATGGGGCGTGTCCAGCGATGCAACAAAGTTCAGAATCCTTCAACTTTATGCAAATGAAGAGCTTCAGTTTATTTTCGTGAATCGACGTTCAGCGACGTTTGATGATGCAGCAGCCGAGATATGCAGCCTTCAGCCCCGTTCACACTACAAGCGACAAAGCGACACGATCCCATTCATTTCAATGGAGAGCTGGCGATTTCCGGTGACAAGTGCAACAGCTGCCGTTGGCGACGGATGGGGTGTGTCCAGCGACAGTTCAGAATCCTTCAACTTTATGCAAATGAAGAGCGACTTTCGGGAGCGACAGCCAATAGGAAAGAAGACGGAAATTGCAGTTTCAATGCAGCTTCAAAGTAAATTATCAGGAAGTTTTTATTCTGGAGGTGAACTAATCCTTTAACCTTTTAACTAAAATCAAACCATTTTAAATTTACTTACTGATGAAGGAAATCAGATCAAACCACTAAAACACAAAGCCAAGTAGAAATTAGGGCTGCACGATAAATCGCATGCGATATTTAATGCGCATCTTATCAGTGAAGCCGGTTCTGTAATCAGCGGTAAATCTCCATCACCTGCGTGCTTTCACATTATGCTTGTGTCGATGACAGTTTCGGAGTAATTTTAATTTCACCTCTTCAAATACTGATAACTGCTAATGATAAGATATTGGTTTACATTTTTAGATAAAGCGTTTTTCAGGGAAAACAGGCACCCAACACAGAGACTACAGTAAGATGTTATTCAGTTTTAACCGTTTCTAGACCTCACATTGGGATTAATATCTTAAGTATGATTCTAATCATTAGTACATTTGTAAGATATTTCCTCCACTGGTGATCGAAAATGAGTAACTTTTTTTTCCTGTTGTCTTTCTTCCTCTGAGGTGGCACAAAAAAAGGGGAATAGAACTTTTCACCATCATCAGTCCTTTATTTCATTCACTGGAGAACATCACAACCTTCAGATGTGTCATATCAGGATAAATGCTGCTGCAGGGAAAATTATATGAAGGTTGGTTTGATTGTGGTGTACAAATTGGCTTTTTTTTAAAGCTACAGTTGTGTTTACCTTGCTATGATATCTATGGAAAGGGTCAATTTTTGTGAATCCTCTGTCTTTTTTGGGGGGATTCACATTTTTCTGATGGGATTGTCATGCATTAGGTTTAAATTTTGAATCATTACTTACAGTTTTAAAGCTGAGAATTTGTTTATGTTGTCTAAATGGCTTATAATGTCAAATGGCAGTACAATTTAAATACATTTAAGATTGTTTAAAAGAATGGTTAAAAAAAAAATCATTCTTATTAAGGACCCACCCCACTCCAGATTCACCAAGGATCCAGCTGAAGCCCCGTTCACACTACAAGCGACACGCAACGTCAAAGCAACACGATCCCATTCATTTGAATGGAGAGCTGGTGATTTCTGGTGACAAGAGCGACAGAGGCCGTTGGCGACCGGATGGGGTGTGTCCAGCGACACGACAAAGTTCAGAATCCTTCAACTTTATGCAAATGAAGAGCGACTTTCGGGAGCGACAGCCAATAGGAAAGAAGACGGCAGAGCTCATGTGATCGTTCTCCTCTCAGCCATAGATAAACATACGCAATGGAAAAAAAGTTCTGTTTCTCATTCATTTTTATTTGTATGTACGGATTTAATTCATATTTATATTATATTTAGTCTTTTGCCTCCAAAATGTTTGTATTTAGCGGCAAGAAACCTGATTCGCTGTCAAGGCAACCAGTAGTGTGAACGCCAACTAGCAACCTCATTGCCAGCCCCTGGCGACATGCAGCGACTAAGGCTAAGTTCACACTACACGACTTTAAACGTCGGCAGATCGCTGTGCTGTTCAGACTACATGA